AAAAGAATGAGTCTTTCGTAATAGGGGGGGAGGGGGGGGGGGGGGGGGGGGAAGGTTTGTAACGTCATGAGCCGACTGTATTTTTCCATATGTTGTACATTTTACGAATTTATTCTTTTTTTAAGGATTTATATTCAGGAAGAAGTAGGCTCGCTAATAATTTATTATTACAGGAATAGAAAATATTTCAGTCATTCTTGAGACATGGGACAAAACAGGTCCAGCAAGGGTAACTGCTATTAGGTTTAAAAATAAAAATATTTTCAATTTGAAATGTCATGAGGGATTAATAATAGAATGTATTTAACACAATTATCACCTTCAATTTAATGTTCTCATTATTATACCAAATCTATGTTTCTTAATGTCCTCTCACCACATCTAAAACTGTGTGTCCACAGAGAAGGGTTCAATCATGCATATGCAATAAAATGGATAAAAATGTTTTTTTAATGATGAAAATTAGCTTGTTTTATCAAAAGCAACACTTAATATTATCTCCTATCAAAGCAAGGTTGTTTTTAATGACACATGCATGTTTAATATGATTTTAAAGTTGTGTCCCCACTTTTTGTCAACACCGTCAGACATTCAATAAAATGTAATAATATCAGGGGCAGCTGTCACTCTAAAGGACCCCCTCGTCATAGTTCACCTCTGCAGAGTACATCAGTGTCAGACAGGCTCTGCTAAGTTTTATAGTTTTAGAATATTTTAAATCCTAATGTTAATATTTCCTGTGCCACAGCCATGATATGTCAACACCATCTTCCAATTTCTGAGGAAATTATTTGAAATATTTAAATAATTTTATTCTCCTGAAGCACACTGCAAAAAAATGCTTTTCTAGCTTAGATCTTTAGATCTTTTGCCAGCCAAAATATCTAAAAAATCTTAAATCAAGAATGATTCTCTAGACAAGTAAAAATTATTGTCTTGTTGTCTTGTTTTACAAGTCAAAATTCAAAAGAAAACAAGATTATTTTTCTTACCCCATTGGCAGATTATTTTGCTTGTTTCAAGCAAAAACTCACTTGAATTCGACTTGTTTTTTCTGAAAACAAGACAATCATTTTTATTTGTCTAGAAAATCCTTCTTGATTTAAGAATTTTTAGATATTTTGGCTGGAAACAAGACAAAAGATCTAAGCTAGAAAAGCATTTTTTGCAGTGCAGGTTCCATTAGCATCTAGCATCAACAGAAAAAAATAAAATGGCTACTACATGAACTCCATTGGTTTTGTGAAAGAAATGCCAAATTTGTCAAGACCGTCAGATGTCACCACCATAAGATTTTGTGTTCTAATGATATATCAAAATACTTAAATGTGACTCTTGAATAAAAGCTTTATAAACAATAACATACTCACTGTTTGTTGTGTTTGTTTTAATACAGTAATTGACTGATTCAATGTATTTGATAGTTAAAATGACTACAAATTCAGGTTTTCGTCACCTCTGTCAGTTGAATATGTTGATAATATTTCATTATGATATGTTATATTTGTTGTGGAATTGTTGGTCACATGTGAAAGTGTAATTGAAAAGTGTAACTGCTAACACGAGAATGTGTTTTGAAATGTTAAAAACATCTTGAATGCTGTTAAAGATAGCGCTGAAATTATATTACACAGTCCAGTTTTTTTAAATAAAAAAAGAAGCACATTTTGTTAAAAAAGAGAAAAGTTGGAAGGTTGTATCAAAGCATAGCTCAGTAGCTTAGTACGTATAAGATACATAAATGTAGTTTCATTTGTCTGAGTAAGTTACAAGGTTTTATTTTTTCAATTTTGCACCCTGTTTTGTCCCACTTGGGAATCACCTAATGTCTATTTCCTACTTCAGTAGTTAAATGAGCTTCCTTTATACATACATACACATTTTACTGCTCTTGACGCTCTAAACCCTTGCCATTGTTGATCACTATATGCGCAGGTTGAGCATCAGTATTCTCATAGATTGAAAGTAAATGTGGTGAGAGCTGAAAATGTGACGAAAGGAGCATTTGGGGATTTATGTGAGTATATATATATTTATGCTATTTAAATAAATCCTTGAATGAGCATTTATACTTAAGTGATTGTGTGTTCGTTCACAGTGGACACCCCAGACCCTTATGTGGAACTGTCCATTCCAACCACACCAGAGTCAAGAAAACGAACACGCCACATAAATAATGACATTAACCCGAAGTGGAATGAAACATTTGAGTTCATATTGGATCCCAATCAACCCAATGTTTTGGAGGTGAAAGATTTCTACTCTAATTACTTATTTTTTACACTTTCCTTTAAAAGCTTCTTATTTTAAATACGTTACTGTATTTATTACCATATCCTGATTCAATACAGTGGTCCCAAAAAGTATGACTTAAGTCACACTTTAAAATCTATACATTTCTATGTATATCAAGTAGAATCTGCTTGACAAATTAAACTATACCTTTTACTAGACTAACTTCACATTTCTCAGCTGCGTTTGCAGTGACTTTTAACCAGCAGGTGTCATGGGGATATTTAGCGGATGTTTTGGAAGTCAGATTCCCTCAAGTTTACACAAGGGGCCCTTGGAGCTATAAAGTTTCCAAACACTTTTTGTCTTAATATTAAACTAGACCTACACTACCGTTCAAACATTTGGGGTCAGTAAGTTTTTCAACACCAAATCCGCATATTAGAAGGATTTCATATCATGTGACACTGAAGACTGGCTGCTGAAAATTCAGCTTTGTCATCACTGGAATAAAATACGTTTTAAAATATATTAAAATACAGAAAGGTTATCATAGCTGTTTTAATAATATTTCAAAATATTACTACTTAAATACTATTTTTTTGGGTGGGATTTTGGGGCAAATGCAGTCTCGGTGAGCATTATAGACGTCTTTCAAAAATATTGAAATGTCTTATCAACCCCATTCTTTTGAATGATGGTGTGTATGTATTGTTTTATTATTTGGAACTGAACTTTTTGTGAAATGTTTTGCTTGAAAAGTGCCTATGCTGTTTTTGGTTTATATGGCATGGTTTATGCAGTAAAAAATAAAGGTGTTGTTTTGAATTTTAAATGTCTTCGAAAATACATCAGCACTTTGTTATAATGCTGTTTGAATGCTCTTTATTTAGATGACACTGATGGACGCTAATTATGTCATGGACGAAACTCTGGGCACAGCTAAATATTCCCTTTCAAAGCTCAAAGTGGGGGAGACAGAGCATGTGACCCTATCTATTGGCAAGGTAAAGGTTTTTTTGGTTTACACTATCAACCTGCTATGAACTAAATTCATAGTTACTGCTTTTCAGTATCTTGTTGTTTACTATTATTCTCTGATTTTTACTAGACGACAAAAGTGTTCCTCGACATGATCTTAGAAGTGTGGTATGTATAAAGAAATGTTTATTTCTATACATTATGCATACTATTTTATGCGTAGTAGAGCGAATGAGGGACTGAAAGGGAGTCATTTTTGTGCAGTGCGTCCACAGACTTGCGCTTCAGCATGGCTCTGTGTGATCAGGAGAAACTCTTCATGCAGACGCGCAGGGACAGAGTTATGCTCAGTATCAAGAAGCTTCTAAAAATGGAAAACCCACGCTTCCTTCCAGCCTCACCTAGAGAGGTGAAGTTAAAAACTGCCTTATAAACTGCTATACTAAAATAAAGAATCTTATCTCTAGCGAGAGCGATCCTTTCTGATAGCAGCTCTATTTATGCTCAGGTTCCCACCATCGCCATTTTGGGTTCTGGAGGCGGTTTCCGTGCAATGGTTAGCTTCTCTGGTGTGATGAAGGCTCTGTATGAATCTGGGGTGCTTGACTGTGCAACGTACGTGGCAGGACTTTCTGGATCAACATGGTCAGTAAAAGTCGTTCCAATTTTTTTCATTTAAACAGATACAGAAATCCCATAGACTTCTACAATCTTAAAAATACCAATGGTTGCAAAAGGAGATTTTCACAGTGTTGCTATAGAAGAACCATTTTGGGTTTCCCTAAGAACCTTTCAGTGAACAGTTCTGAAAAGAACAGCTCATCTTCTTAGAGTGAAGAACATTTAAATAATCTGAAGAACCTTTTTTTGTGCGGTGGAAAGGTTCGATGGATGTTCATGGAACCACAAATGCCATTAAAGAACCTTTATTTTTAAGAGTGTAGGGACAAGAAAAGCAAAAAAATGTTTATGTGGGCCACTAATTAACCATCTGAAACACCCTAGCAACCATATAACAATGCCCTAGCAACCATCCTGAATACCGTAGCAGCCACATAACAATATGTTAAACACTATTCTGAACACCTCAACAAACACATAGCAAGCACCAATCACATCAAAAATCTCATTAACATCCATACTGGCTATATTCCCACAGGTATATGTCCATGCTGTACTCGCACCCTGAATTTCCCGCTAAAGGCCCAGGGGATATTAATAAGGAGCTGATGAGCAGAGTCAGCAATAACCCACTCAAACTGCTCCTGCCCCAAAACATCAATCGCTACGTCAAAGCACTGTGGAAGAAGAAATCGGGCGGACAGCCGGTCACTTTCACTGACATCTTCGGGATGTTGATCGGAGAGACTCTAATTCCAGGGGTGAGATATGCGGCAACGCAAACTGGGTTATTGAGAGTTTTTACTGCAATAGGAGATCGAGAGCGGCATGAACTGCACTGGGCTGCACTGTACTCTATTTATACACTGTAGTTTGTTCAAATACAAAGACTCCTTTGTATGTTGTCTCTCTATTACGCATCCCAATGCAAATAGACGCTTCTCTTTGGGAGGATCGTCCTTGTAAAACAGGAAGATACTTCTCAATACAGGAAGGCAGTAGCCCCTGTATTTATGATTGTACACTACAGTTAATATTTCTTTTTTTTAAGAAAGTAAGAAATTAACACTTTTATTCAGCAAGGACGCATTAAATTGAAATGAAAGACATTTAAAATGTTACAAAAGATTTCTATTTCAAATTAATGGCTTATTTTTATGACTTTCTAGTCATCAAAGAATCCTGAAAAAAATGTATCTTGGTTTTCACAAAAAATATTAAGCAGCATAACTGTTTTCAACCACAACTGTTTTCAATACCAGATCAGCATAATTAAATTCTGAAGGATTAAGACTGGAGTAATAAGTGCTGAAAATTCAGCTTTGCTGTCACAGGAATAAATTACACTTTCAAATATATTTAAATAGAGAACAGTTATATTATACTGTAATAATATTTCACAATTTTACCGTATTTTTAAAAAAATTCAGTAAATTAAAAAATGCATCCTTTTTTTCTCTTAACGACCTTAAACCTTTGAACTGGAGTGTATGAGAAAATGTGTGCACTTGATATTCCGCTTTCATGTTGCTTATCTGTTGACTAGAGTAAGATAGTTTTGAATAATTTTCCCAAATCACACATACCATTTTAATGTGACATTTTATCATTTGAATGGCTTTACTTGCAGAAATATTTGTAGAGATATAGATGCAGCTTAGAGATAATGGACCATTGAAAGTGTGTCTGATATACATAATGACCAAGTGATTTTAGGAAAAGATCTACATTGTTTGAATGACACCAAAATGTCATCATTTACTCACTTTCACACTCTCTTTCCTTGTTTTTGTCCATGCTGTTACAATTAATGCAGACTGGCGCTTTTAAGCTTAAAACAGGACACAAAATCATCATAAAAGTCATATCAGAGATATATATGCAAAAGCTATACAATAGCTTAGTGTGAGGAACAATTCTGTCAGACCAGAAAATGTCCTCTTTTTGTGTTCCATGTAAAAATGTAAGTCAGACAGGTTTGGCGCGACATGAGGATGAGTAAATAATGATGAGACTTTCATTTTAAGATGCACTGTTCCTTTAATTATACTACACACTGTTGCAACCATCCTTTTAGAAAATGCTGTAAACAAAGCTTTATGTTAATATCAGTTTTTAACATACATTGACACAGATGCTGTGAAGACCTAAAGAAAAAAGTTTGATCATTAAGCTTACTGTGTGTGTGTGTTTTGCACAGAGAATAGACACTAAACTGAGCTCCATGCAGACGAAGATTAATGAAGGTCAGAGCCCCCTTCCTCTCTTCACCTGTCTGCACGTCAAACCTGATGTCTCTGAGCTCATGTTCGCAGGTAAGATGACGGTTCACGTAAACATTAAGAATGCTACATTATATTGTATTGTCTGTTATTGATTGCTGTGTGAATTGAATAATTCTTATGAAAAAGAAATGAGAAAGACATAGCAACTGTCCGTATTTGTAATGACTAACAAAATAGTAAAAATTTGTATAACACCACTTCATAGCCTCCGTGGTAGCTGAACACTATCGATTTGTTTACATTTGCTTAATACTGTGGAAAACATGCAAATATTTGTTATGGGGCCTAATGATTGACCCACTGTGAAGTCATTATGAACTTTTACAGCTCCTCCCACAGGTGTAGACACACTATTTTTAGAGACTAGTCAATGTGTGGGTAGGTTGTTTTCTGTTGAATGGGATCAGAGATTGTAACTAAACAGATGATGGTTAAGTGGAAGTATTTGTCAGTTCAATGCGAGTCACTTACTGTACATTACGCTTAGTATTTGTGTGAACATGAGTCACTGAGTCAAGTAGTATTTTGGTAATGCAATTTAACATATAAAAGTGCCTTTGTCATTTTGACTTAATAATATTGAGTTTGTCTCCTTTGTCTCAATCAGACTGGGTGGAGTTCAGCCCGTATGAGATTGGCATGGCCAAATATGGCACCTTCATGTCTCCGGGGCTGTTTGGGAGCAAGTTCTTCATGGGCAGCGTTGTGAAACAATATGAGGAAAACCCCTTACATTTCCTCATGGGTAAGACTGGGACTGCTCTGAATTTCAACAGAACCGCTTGCTAAGAGACCCCTCAATATGCATGTGGAGTCATTAACAGCAGTACAGTTACTCATGAACTGTGTGATTACTCATACTTCCCATCAATATGTAAAATATTCCCAATAGGTTTGCAAATATATAGAGTTGGATTCATTTCAAAATGTATTCAAACTATTAGTTCAATGAACTGATTCACTCATTCACTGAATCCCTCATTTAATCGTTTCGACAATTTGTTTGTGCCACCAAAAACATCTCTGCATAGTATTTTTTTATATTAAAATATGTCTTGTTAAAAAAAAATTATAGGTATATGGCTATTTTAAAGTTTGGGGTCAGTAAGATTTTTTTTTGGAACTAATTTAATACATTTATTCAGCAAGGATAAATTTAATTGATCAAAAGTGACAGGAAACACATTTTTAATATTACAGATTTCTTTATTAAATAAACTTTGCTCTTTGGAAATTTCTGTTGAACATTGATAATAATAAGAAATGTTTCTTGAGCACCAAATCGGCATATTAGAATGATTTCTGAAGAATCGTGTGACACTGAAGACTGGAGTAATGATGCTGAAAATTCAGCTTATTTATCCCGGGAATAAATGAAAATGTAAAATACATTATAAAAGAAAATATTTATTTTAAATTGTTATAATTTTGCTGTTTTTACTGTATTGTTCAGCATAAAAGACTTTGAAAAACATTAAAAAAAAATTTACAAGCACTAACAATTGGTGTAAGTAAATAAATACGTTTTTTTATAATAGTTTATATAAATAAAAATCATGAAATGTCATTCATTCATTTAGTAAAAAACTTGATTTGATTGTACTACTCGCATTAAGATTTTGAATGACTTAACAGCAGCAGCAGCTGCCGGCAGCTGTTCAAATCAAACACATGAATATTGAGATATAAATCGTCAAAAGGCTGAAAAATGTTGAGATAATATCATGCTCTTCATGCTTAGTTCTTACGAGAAACTCATAATATAAATATTACTTATGTTGAATCAAGAACACCTATCTTGCACAAACATCTTGCACCCTTTCAAGAAAGTTTTCTCAGTTGAAGAGGGCCAGAGTATTAGCTCTACATCAGAATTTATAATCCTTCCTTATTCTGTTTATTAGAATATCGGTTCCAAGTATTGTTTGCCGTAGCATGTTTAATGTAAGTGTATGTGCTGCAGGTGTATGGGGCAGTGCTTTCTCTATCCTCTTTAACCGGGTTCTGGGAGTGAAGGAGACAGCCAGTAGCAGCACAATGGAAGAGGAGCTGGGTGAGTAAGATTGTGTCTCTTAGCTATCAGAGGCAAAGAACTTTATGAAAGAGACAACTTGCTCCTCATTTCAAAAGAACCCAATGTAGGCCAAGTTAGATTGTTATCATATTGTCAGTTTGTATCCTTGTAACATGCTGAAATGTGCCATTACTTGTTCTTCTAGCGCCAACATGTACAGTTGACACACATTTACTGCATGAATGCAGTTTTGGCGTGGAAATTATAAGATTAACGCACTGCCACATTGGTCTACACACTACTGATGTGTGACCTCAGTCAAACCCCTGCTGACATTCAAAGTTGAAGTAAAGCGACATATAACATTCACAACAGATGGGTTTGTTTAGTGTGTTCATGTTCCACTGTGGATAAAAAAAAAAAAAAAGCTTTAATTAAATAATATTTTTAGACTTTTTTGTATCGTTAAAGATTTTCTGCACAGGGACTTTATTTTCAGCCACATTCTTGTTACTGTAATAAAGAATGAGGAGATCACAATGAAAAATCCTATCGTTCTTTTATGCAAAATGTAAATACCTTTTTGTGAGGTTCACCCATCAGTTGAAACTCAGGACAGGGAAAAGAAAAGGCTTGTCTCTTATCGTGGGTACAATCTAAAACGGTTTGCATCTTCTGTTTTTCAGAGCAAATTAAACCCGAGCATATTGTGGGTGATGATTCAGCAGATAATGAGGAGGAAACTCAAAGGGGTGAGAAAGTACTCTATGATCGTTTATCTCTCTTTCTCTTTCTCTTTCTCTTTCTCTCGTTCACTGACACACACACACACACACACACACACTTACAGTAGTTCAGTTGAGGGTTCAACTGTAAGAATGACCACGATTTCCACAAAAATCTGAAGCAGAAAGCATTTTCAATATGGATAAGAACCATTATTAATGATTGAGCACCAATAATAATTGATCATAACAGAACAGCAAATCAGCATATTAGAATGATTTGTAAAGGATCATGTGACACTGAAGACTGGAGTATTGATGCTGAAAATTCAGCTTTGATCACAGCAATATATTAAATTTTAACATGCTGTATTGTGCAAAAGTCTTAGGCCACTAGTTTTTGACCAACAAAAATTTTTATTTTTTTCTATGGTTATTTATTTATTTATTCTATCTTTTGCTGTGTCAGACTTAGAAGGAAATATCAATTTCCAAACATTTCTTTTGCCATTCATTGTAATAATCCAGTGAGATTTTATTTTATGCACAAGGAGTCTGATGGCAGCCAGTGCTCCACACAGAGATCTGATCTCACCTTCATCCAGTCCGTCTGAGATTACATGAAGAAACAGAAAAAACTGAGACAGACTAAATCCAGAAAAACTGTGACAACGTCTTCAAGACGCTTTAAGAAACTTAAACTAGTGGCCTAAGACTTTTGCACAATACTGTATATTCACATAGAAACAGTTATTTTTAATTGAAATCATATTTCCCAATATTACTATTACTGAAGCCTTGGTGAGCAGAAAAGATTTGTTTCAGAAACACTAAAACTTTTGACCGGTAGAGTGTATGTGTGTATATATATATATATATTAGGGGTGGAACGATACATGTATTCGTACCGAACCGTCAAGGTACGGACATCTCGGTTCGGTGCATGAGGCCTTACAACGAATACAGGCAATTCACCCCAATCCAGAAGGGGTCGCCCGCTGCAATACAACGCTGTTTGATAACCGGCCTCCAGCAGAAGAACAGTGAATGCCATGAGTTGCGCACTTGAAAACAAAGGCCACTAGACAGTGACCATGTGCTGATTCTGAATGTGTCTCTCACAGACTTACAAAGGAGTGTACTTTAAAGGCTTGTGCGCTCAACTGTTTGCGAAATGGAGCTTTGTGCTCGTGTATCCTACCTCTCTCATTCGGCACAAATCCAAATATTCCATAATATTTCCATATTTGCAATGTAACGTATCTGAATGCTAAACTATTATTTATGTAAATTATAGGCTTTGTACTTCAGTCGTGTTCCAATGGTGACACGGAGGCGGGCGCGCTGATGTTTGGTTCACTGTGTTTTATTTTGATAAAGTACCAACTGCGCTATCAAGTTAGCAATGCTGGAACTGATGTGTTGTGTGTGTGTGCGCACCGGCGCGATCACTTCATCTGTTTCCTTATACCAGCAGAAGCAACTTTAAACACTTATTGTCTTATTAATAATGCATCACTGTATAAAGGTCTGCTTTTATTTGTGTACACTCACAATGAAAACAAAACATTGTGCTTTTGTAAAATAAAGAAAACAAAGGATGTCGCTATCTACCATTTGAATTTCCTTTCTGTGAACAAATTAAGCGTGTCACAAAAATGAACTGAAAATCAGCATATATAGGCTACATTATGTGTCGCACTGTTTTTCCCTTGTTTATCTGTAAACTAAATCAAATATTTTTTTTTTATTTTTACTACTGTCTGTTCAAAATAAATGAAAACCGAGCATAGTAGATTTGTTTTTTTCCCCTGTTGTACCGAAATCATATCGAACCGTGACCCCCGAACCGAGGTTTCTACCGAACCGTGACATCTGTGTACCATTCCACCCCTAATATATATATATATGGGGTCATGTATGGCATAAAAAAATTTAAATAAAAAAAAAAGTAGTAATTTTAGTAAACGGTTTTGTCTTTTTATTAATTAATTCGTTTGTTTATTTGTTTGTTTAATTGTTACCAATGTAACATTATGTAGTTGTATAATGTTTTATTTATTTATTTATTTTAATTGTTACCCAGGTAACATATCTAACTCTCATGTTTTACACCATATGCCATCATTTTCCAGTAAAATTGTGTGTATGTATTCATTAAGTTGCATCATAGTTGCATAATTTCCTGCTATTATTGCAGATTAAAAACCTAATAAATATATAGTGGTAAAAAACAAATGTATTCCCTAAAGATAAAGATACTGTATGTAAGTATATCTTTCTGATATGTTACTGAAAATACATTTCAAAATAAGTTTTTGTGGTTGGTACAGTATAAATATTAGCAGAGTTGGTAAAAATCTGGGGAAAAAGGAGCCAGGGAATCACTGATTGTCTCTGTCTCTCTTTCATCCAGGAGGCACAGAGAGCGCAGAGGCAGAAGATGAGCGGCAGCGTCATGCCCAGGCTAGCTGGGTTCAGCGCATGCTGACCTCCATAATGGGGGACACCACCCTGTTCACCACACGTGAGGGCCGTGCCGGCAAGGTGCACAATTTCATGCTGGGACTCAACCTAAACTCTTCCCTGCCTTTCTCTGCCTTCACTGGCCTCATGCACCAGACCTCAGTGGATGAGGAGGTTGATGCTGTTACAGGTACTAATTAGCCATTTACCTGCCACTTTTGTGCAAATTTCGATACATTTTGATGTCAAGGACCCCCAAATATGGCTATTATAATTAGAAAAGCTATATATTTATATACACAGACTTCATTATTATTATTATACTGTATGAGAAAAAAACTGATATCATACAAGTGTGATATTATTCAAAAAAAATAATTTTTAATCTAGATTATTAAATATTATATAAATATAATTTGTATTGTATTTATAAAAACTCACAATCTTGAATTTTTTTTTTGAAGCTATTTTTTTTTTTTGTTAAAATATTTTTCACTGATATTTTTCACAGACCCCCCCTAGTGGGAGGAAGTTAGTTAGTCAACTCTCAAAACTACATACATCTAAAAAAATACCAACACACCCACTGCAGATTAACTTTTCTCCCAGGGGTTAAATATACAGAAACATCACACAGGAAGCATCTTTGACATGTGCATGTCACTGCAAGATCGCTTATCGTGTTAAACAAGACCGTTTTGAGCGCTTTCTTAAGTTTATGTGTCATTCTGTTAATCTCACTGATAATGAAAGCAGACTCTCATTTATAATTACTGATAATAATAGCACTGCATGTCTGTTTGACTCAGCAGCAGTCTACTTCCTGTTGACACTTGGGTGTGGGGAAAAAAAGATAAGCGAGAAGTAATGTTGAATAAATGATGACATTGTTGCATGGAATTTTCTTTTCTTTACAAACAACTAGGTGAATGTTGGTGATGGCATCCTGTAGCACCTTTATTGGGCATTGACAAACCACAGTGATAACAGATGAATCTTTCCTGCAGATCCTGACGAGTTTGAGCGAATCTATGAGCCCTTGGATGTGAAGAGTAAGAAAATCCACATAGTGGACAGCGGTCTGACCTTTAACCTGCCCTATCCTCTCATTCTGCGGCCACAGAGAGGAGTTGACCTCATCATTTCCTTCGACTTCTCAGCCAGGCCCAGTGACTCCAGCCCACCATTCAAAGTACATGTCTGACATGAAGATTATGCATGACATGTACATATTAAGAATGATATGATATATGTTGATTTAGTGCTCCAGTTGTGTGGAAACTGTGATACATTTTTCTTCACAAATCTTTAACGAATAGAAAGTTCAAAACAACAGCATTTATTTGAAATGGAAGTCTTTTGTAACATTATAAATTTCTTTACTGTCATCTACGTGTGTCCTTGTTTGTCTGTGTTAGGAGCTACTGTTGGCTGAAAAATGGGCCCGTATGAATAAGCTGCCGTTCCCTAAGATCGATTCGAAAGTATTTGACCGAGAGGGTCTGAAAGAGTGCTATGTGTTCAAACCCAACAAGGGAGATAAGAGCTGCCCAACTGTCATTCATTTTGTCTTGGCCAACATCAACTTTCGGAACTTTAAAGCCCCAGGTGAGAGCATGTCATTAAGGGTGTACTCACACTAGGCGTTTTGAACCGTGCCCGGGCGCGGTTCGTTTAGCCGGCCCTGGCCCGGTTGGAAGAGGTGGGCCAGGGCACGGTTCGGTTGGGCTCGGGCGCGGTACGCATGCAGTGTGAGTGCTAACCGTGCCGAAGCACGGAACAGATACTATTTTGTGTGCGCTACTGTCATCATTACGACATATTCTATTACTACTACTACACTACACTTTTCAATTCATTTAATTTAATCAAGTATATTTAGGTTTATAATGGCTCTGGTTCTTACCTTATTGATTAACAGGAAATGTAGTTTGCGAGTAAAGCTGCAAATTATTTCATTAACGTCAGCTGCCTCCGTAATAATTTTCTGATACATACAAGTGAAAATCAATGCCCGGCATAAATTATAAATTAATTATTCGGCAGAATATTAGCAAAAGAGGTTTTCTCCGTCATCTCATACATGGCGTAAGCGTGCTCCGGCACGGAATGTTTAGTGCAAGTGTGAGTGCAGGCCAGCGGGGGAGTGGGGAGGGGGGATAATCACGCTCGGGCTCGGTTCAAGGCAACCGTGCCTGGTGTGAGTACACCCTAAAAGGCTACACATGCATATGAACAATCAGTGAGTAAATAAGCTGTTTTGTTTCACTACCTTGAATTTATGTTTAAATAATATTTAGGTTAACATAACATTAAAGTTAAAGTAACATTAAAGGCTAAATAACTGTAACATTTCTCAGCTCATTTCAAATCAGACATGACCTGCACTTAACTGTGGCTCAATTAGTGAGTGAGTCATTCCAGCCTATTCTTTGAAGAAGTGAGTTGTCTGACTGATTCAGTCTATGATTCAGACTCTATGGCTCCTACTGTATGTTCAGTTCAGTCTGATTCACCAATTGGGTCCACAGATTCATAAAAAAACTAATTTTACTGTATTTTTGATACAGTATAAAAATATTACCAACCCCAAACTATCTTTTGAATTGTACTGTATTCAGAGAGGTCCATGTCTGAGACCACATTGAAATGCAGGAATTCAGACTCATTTAAACCTGGAAATAAATAATGTTTTAGGATTTTGGAATATTTAAAATGAAGAAATGTTATGATGTGAAGTGAATCAGATTCTGTACTATTTTTAGGTCACTTATCAAAAATGTGTGTTATTGACAGGTGAAAAAAGCTCAGATTTAATCATTTCATTTCTGTTTTCTTGAAGGAGTTCCTAGAGACACAGACAAGGAGATAGAGTTTGGCGACTTTGACATATTTGACGATCCAGCCTCTCCCTTCTCCACTTTCAACTTCCAATACTCCAACCAGGCCTTCAGGAGGCTTCATGACCTCATGGAGTTCAACACGCTGAACAACATTGAGGTCAGTTCTTCTCCTTCAAACTCTGATTCAAACACCTTCACAACAGTCTTTGCAATTCGTTTTTGGTCTTCATTCTACACGACTCTTTTGTTTTCGCAGGTTATAAAAGAAGCAATTAAAGACAGCGTTCTGCAGAGACGAGAGAACCCCTCACGCTGCACGGTTTCCCTATCACTCAATGAAATTGAAAACAAGAAGTTCCTGAAACGGGATACCAGCAATGCAAAACGACCCACCTAACAGATAGCTGCAAAAGCCTTGACGTGTGAGACTGCGTTGGTCCACTGGTGCTGATTCTCATTCAGCCATTTCATGAGAATCACTGAGCAGATTCATCAGACAAGACTGGACTGACCTTATTACAGGGTCATTTTTATGATGCTTTCCAGGCAACTTTGAATTCTCCCATCTCCTACTTAAAGATAACCACTGGAAAGGCACTCGGTAGGGTTATTAATGTAAAACTAAGATTAAAACCATAAAAAACATGTATATCAGTGATTCTAAAATAGCACTGGTACAAACCCCAACTCCAATAAGAAGCACCATTTGACGTCATTACCAAGATGGTGACAAATAAAATGACATTCTGATGGCTATTTTGAAGTAGAGGTGGACAATTCCAACATCCAGGTTGTCTGGAACGCATCATGACTGGATTGCTCTAATGGTGGGAAATGGAAAATTTCAATTCAAGTCTTCCCACCTCTGACTTCATCTAGAATGCAGCATCAGGAACACAGAATTTACAGCCATTTTTTGTATTTTCTGCACTGATTTTGGGGGAACTTCTATGGAATAGATTTGAATATGGTAAAATGTTTTGTGTATGGCAAAATAATCTGAGAGACGAGAGTACTACGCTCTTATTGGTCACTGAAAACATTATCAAATTAGCCAAAAATATTTAATAAATAGACACACAATGGGCAGGGGACGTGAAGAACTTTACAACATTCAGAACCATTTCCCAACTTCATTTCAAACTGATTCTTGAATTACCATGTGGGCAAGTTCTCCATGTTAAAGTGCTTGCAAATCTGTCTTTGTACTTCTCTACGGGGTTGCAAGGAGCCAAGTACTGGCTGCTTTGTGTTCACTTGACATTTTAGCAGTAAAAACTGTTCTGGGAGTAATCTATTGTCTCAGTGGCGACCTGAGCCTTAGGACTCACTGTTCCTCATGTGTTTCTGTCCAATGTGATAAGAAAACAATTAATGCTCTCCGTTCAGTTCTACTGTGACCAGTAGATGGTTGATGGTTAGCCTTGCCTTCGGGACAGGATTCATCTCATATTTTAGCGAAAGATTCATTGCTTAGGAACTGGATTCAGCTGCTTTTATTTATTTCGCTTACAAATGTCGTCTCCTGCCCAAGGGGTGAAAAGAAGAAGGTAAAATGCCATCTTACTCCTCCCACGCAGGACTCTACCTCCTAGTGAGGTGTCGGGAATAATGACATGATGGGACATGTTGTGAAAATATATTTGTGGCAGACTGTGGCACATACAGATCTAACTTCACACATAATCATTCCTCTGGTTTACATACTTTATGATGAAAGTGTATGCAAGATTATTTATTTGTATGCTTATTGTGTAGTTATTGTGTTTTATAATTCATTTTAAGATTTGGACATCTCAAAATCAAACATTTGAAATGAATGTCAATGGGGAAAAAAGTGCTTAACGCAGAGCAGGTAAGGTCATTCATAAAACCGAACTGAGGTTAGTATGATAAAGGTGGCAGGTAGATACCAGAAAGACTGGTTGTGGGATAAAAATAGACCTAAGCATTAGAGTGCACTTTTAAGTCCAAAATAAATGTCTACTTTTACACATTCTTTGCTGGTTGAGTTGCGAACACCACAACTGTCAGATCCTTGAAAAGTGGGCATGTACTGTATGATTGTATGATTCATGTATACACAACAAGAGTTATCTGTGTCATGTACATTTAAGTGATGTTACCAGCCTGTGTAGTGTAGTGTCGTGCATAAATATAATAAAAGGATATTCATACCAATGAGTGGTCTGAGAACATTTTATTGGAATTATAAAAGTGTTTACTTTAAGAAGCTGACTTAGGATCAGGATACTGACACATTTGACAGTACTGAAAAACAAAGCACACTTTACTGTGGAATTTTTTTTCACGATTTTGTGTTCATAGGTTTTGCGAAAAGGCGCCTCATTTGAGGAAATGTGTAGTTACTGGGAAAAAACTAGTTGTTGGGAATTTCCTGCAAGTACCTTACAGTAAACTGAAAATATAAAACTCCATAACTGAAAAGCAAAGTATAGCTGTTAATACTACTACTACTACTACTACTACTACTACAGAAATTGTTAAATAGTTTGTAAAAATCACATTTATTGTGACTTGGCATCTTGTGTCTTATCCAGGGCTGACAACATTTCTCACAAGCCAAAGAAAATATTCCTGTAGAAATTTCTATACCCTTTATATTTCATAAATGGGCAATTATCAATCATAATAACATAGATCTCATCAGAAACATGTGTTCTTCCTGGTCTTCCTTCCTCTCTTCTCCTCTTCCAACTCCTCACGCTCTTCCTGTTTCAAGCACAACTACAAATTGTGTGAAAGCAACTGAATGATGATTGTCATATACCAAGTTTAGGGAGACTGGTTCTTCTTTTAGAAAATAATGTAATGGTTTGAGTGTTTTGCTCATCTGTTAGAGGCTGAAATCCAAAACTCAGTGCCATCAGGGAATTTCACACATTTTGATGTCAATATGATGAAAAAAATGTTACTACCGTTATCCATGACACCTCATTCGTATAAAATAATGGGATACTGTTTTTATGCTTGTTAATTCTGAGGTGTAGGAGATATTTTGTCTCACATGTACCTGTATGGGTTATTATCCCCATTAATACATTGGTAGAACATTTTGGCATTGCTTGCTAGAGCCAACTTTGATGGCATGGCCTCTTTTTATAGCCTTTGGAAATGCTTTCAATTAGCCTACATAGCCATCTGCTGGGCTGCTGGAGGAATGTCAGTATGAGGACAATCAGGTTTTATAAGACTGACTTAAGTTGCTCAATATTAGCTCATGCATGAATAATTAAGCTAATGTAAAGAATAATATATCAGTAACACATCTTCATAATGTAGTGCTAAAAAACAAGATGAGAATAAAAAGAGATACCTTCTTTAATTTCACAGATCAAAACAAGTCACATAACTACATTTGGAATCGATTAATTTTACATAGTGGTAAATATACACCTCAAAAGCTTTTCAAACAACATCTCACCCAAATCGAAATTACTTTCACTTATATACAATGTGCCTACACATTAAGAGCAGTATTTCAGAAATATGTTTTGTGTTGCCATTCCAACTTAATTAAATAAATTTGGTACATACAACCTAACCTGTAAAAAAAATTAAAAAAATAAAATCAATCTTCTTCAATTTAAAAACTGAAGTCTAGTTGCTGCCTTAATTTTTCAAGTACAATCAAATTGGCCTTACAAGTCATTTCGAATTAAATTATATGAAACTGACTTACAAATCGAGTTGAATCTCATATAACTTTTAAAAAAATCAAGAAATTGGTTAAAATGTTTTGATGAGTTAAAGTAATCGAAAAACATGTTGATTTGCGTTTAAAAATTCATTGTAGATTTGCATTAACGGCAACATATAATATAATAATTTTCGCACTTTTTTTACTGTTCGGAACCAATGTCCAATTTATTGCAATAACTAATTAAAAATCTTCAAATGAAGTCTTATAATGGATTGATTGCGTGCCACCTAGAGTTAGACTTGAGAAGACACGTGGAGGTTTTCATTTATGCCACTGACACTAGGGGGCTTTCTATGCGGAAGTCAACAAGCACTGAGCTGCTTCGTGAAAGTGCTGGGACTATTTTGTATGAACTGACATCTTCTGATTGATTAATCGAACCAGTCATGTCGAAGAACACAGTGTCCGATCGATTCAGAAAGGTTGATGTAGATGAGTACGACGAAAACAAGTTTGTCGACGAGGAGGACGGCGGAGAAAATCAACTAGGTCCGGATGAGGCTGAGGTGGATTCTCTCATCAGATCATATCCTTTCAGTCCCATGACTTTTATTGCTATTTTTCAGATTTCCTGCTTCTTTGCAGTATATCGTTTGATTAGTCGTTTTCTGAAAGCACTTGATATGTTGGTGTTGTGTTGTTATAATGGACTATTTCTGTTCTCTCGTCCAGACATGGGTGTGGTAGTCAGTCGCTTCATTCATTTAGGACGTGCACAGTTCACATGCTCATCATACGTTTGCACTGCGGTTTCAACTCTTTAGGCTCTTTTAAAACTGTAGAATTACGGCTATAATGTTTCAAGTGCAACACCCGAGGCTGTATCTTATAGATGTGGCAATTACTTAGAATGAGGTTGCTGAAGAAACACTTCCGGATAGTGATGGGTCGTTCTTGAACGAATCTTTAATGTGACTCGGGAAGAACGAGTTGTCTCGGGGAGTGATTCGTTCAATCGCGCATGCGCAACATCATATAGGTTCTGAACTGGAATTAGTCAAATAGTTCACCTGTTTCGAGTCTTCGGGTTTTTCATGTGGCAGCCCCATAAGCTTTAACCAATGCAGTCTGAGCCGGAAAGAGACTTAAAGGGGTCATATGATGCGATTTCAAGTTTTCCTTTCTCTTTGGAGTGTTACAAGCTGATTGTGCATATTGTTTGTAGTGTGATCAACGTTTGACGTATTAGGGAAGTAACACAAAACATTTTAATTATATTTTGCTAAAATGAACGAAATAACTCATTCATTTTGCTGAACGAGACTCAAAGGTCAAAGGTCAAACGAACTTCCCATCACTACTTCCGGATGCCAATGACTTCCGGTTGCAAGATTGCAATATGAGGGTGCACCTTCTCATACGTACTTTCAGTCAACTTTTAATAGTTAATGTAAAGTTATATTTAAAGAGTTTATGTGATTCGTGGCTAGACGTGATTTCAGGCGTCCTGCGGTGCTTTCCTTAGTGCATGATACAGGTAACCTGATGGGAGCTTTGCAGGCAGTACTGAAGAATCCACCCATCAACACCAAGAACCAGAATGTGAAGGTGAGTTAAAGCTAAGTATCTCAAAATATCAATTATGTAAAACTTTTAGCATGATCATATGCTACAAATCGTTCTCACAATTTTTGCCTCCAAGGTCCTTTGCTGAGGTCACCTAGTGGTTATAGGTCCACCAGAAAAACGCATTATATCAGAATTCCAATTTACAGGGTTTACCTTTACGGTTTAGGCCATTTTAAAACTATGATTTCCTGGCCTTTAAAAATCTTGGAAATTAATACAATCTTGAATATTTTGTTGTTAATTTAATTGGCAGTTACAGTGTAAGCGTAATGCAAAAAAAGCTTAATTTCTTCACTTTTAACTACAAGAAACATTACATATATTTTTAAGGCTTTGAATATAAGTATTGCACACGGTGAAATGCCATGGATAAAATATTATATCAATGACCATTTTATTTATGTAGAACAACATAAGATGACCAATAATTTAAGATACAACAGTAAACAGCCTAAACAATGATAAATGCTTTTTAACCTTTTATACTAGAAGTGTCTTGGCCTTTTTTTCTAATGATTTTTATGCATTATGTATGTTAAATATTATCTTTACATTTATTTATATAGTGCTTTACATAATTATAAATAATTAGAACTACAGTTATAATTATTATAACTTATAATATTTGTGTAAAATGCACCTATTTAGATGGTCATATAGGATTGGAAGTGTATAAGAAGTATATAAACATCTCAAATGAATTGATTAATGATTCATATCTTTTCAAGGATAGTTCATTGTGTGTGTGTGTGTGTGTGTGTGTGTGTGTGTGTAGGACCGGGCTGAAGGCCTTGTGTTGAAAGTGCTCAGCTCTGTCAAGGCTAGCGATATAGAAAAGGCTGTTCAGTCTCTGGATAAGAGTGGAGTTGATCTCCTGATGAAATACATCTACAAAGGCTTTGAAAGACCCTCAGACAACAGTAGTGCCATCCTACTGCAGTGGCATGAGTCCACCCAAAAGTATGTCATCATTTACTCACCCACATATTGTTCTAAACCTGTTTGACTGTGGAACATAAAAGAAGATATTTTGAAGAACTTTGGGGTCCAAACAACATGCCATGTTTTCTTTTGTGTTAAACAGAAGAAAGTAAGTCAAACCGATTTGGATGAAAGTGAATAAATGATGACAGCATTTTCATTTTTTTGTGTGAACTATCACTTTAAGAAGGTGATCAAGCTTTCGTTCACAGGATTTTTACTTTACACTCTTTTCTTCACCTGCTTCTTTTTAAAACATAATCAGAGTTGGTCTATGGAACATGCAGCATCAGTATTTGCTTTTTCCTACTTGCATGCATTGCATATATATATATATATATATATATATATATATATATATATATATATGTTCAGAGCTGGATGTTGAATCCAACCTTATATGAACACCTGTGCTTTCAAGAGGGAGATTTCCAGCTCAATTTCTTGTGATCAGAGTGCTTATTTTCCTCCACAGTCCCTTCAGTAATTCATGCACTTTCTAGAAACTCTTTTGTTTCATATCACACCGGATCACGTTTTAAGAAACAAAAAAGGGAATAACTTTTCTTAAGTTGCCAAAAAGATTTATATTGTCATGATTGTTGATTAAAACGAGTGTGTTTTTGTACTCTTTACAAAAACGACGAGTTTAATTTTTTATAACGCTGAGTATTATTAATTATCCAACAAAAGCTTACGTATATATTTTGATTATCATTTTTGAACTGTATTAGATGTTACCAATTGTAGAACATGATTAACATCAACATGTACTTTGAACTCAGACTTTGTCAGGTGCTGATGATATAGCTAACCTCTGAGACACACAAGTGTTTGTGTACTCTCACATTTCCCATCAAACACGCAGCTAGCACTCAAGCTGCAGTGGAGAATTTTGCTTCCACTGTGGTCTACTTGTTTTTGCCATACTTGAAGCCATACATAAACAACCCAAGGAACTTGTTCATTTACGATTCCAAGTGAATGTCGAGTTTGCATCACACCAGTCAATCATATGATTAAGTGCAAAAATTATGAAATAGTTTACCAACTGCCTTATAAAATATTCCTTTTATATTGTATCGTCCTTTTGAAAATAAATTAAATGAATACAAACTTTGTTACTTCTTTTCCATCTTTGTAGATTATGCAAACCTAAAGGCCTGTTTAAGGTCTGTCTGTTAAGTGTTTGTCTGCAGTGTGACCGTTATTATTGTTCATTAAAACAAAAAAAGTTCTGTCTTTCCGTTATATGAAATTTAAAAAAGGAAGAAAAAAAACTATTTCATTGTAGCTAGTTGCCATAGCAACATTTTTCATTTTATTTTAGTTTGATGATGTGCTCAAATTAAACTAGACCAATGAAAAATGACAAAAACAATTCATAAACTATCCAAAAAAATCCATTCCTCCAGTGGAAAAGTCCATCCTCTGTTGTCGTCTCACATAAAAATCAACCAACATATTTGTTCTGGACTGTTTTCGCTTGTAAACGGTGCTTGACCCGTGCATATTTCTCTCCTGATTCCACTTTTTCACTGGAGAAAGCAATATTATTGAGAGAGGACTTCTGGTTTTAGTCAGAAACAGTTCGAAGTTAAAAACATCTCAATGATGGATTTGTTTCTTACAGACATTCAGCTTTTCACTTCACAAGACATTAACTGATGGACTGAGTCGTGTGGGGTACTTGTGGATTATAGTGATGTTTTTATCAGCTGTTTGGACTCTCATTCTGACGGCACCCATTCACTGCAGAGGATCCATTGCTCAGCAAGTGATGTAATGCTACATTTCTCCAAATCTGTTCAAAGAAACAAACTCATCGACATGTTGGATGGCCTGAGGGCGAGTACATTTTTTTTAGCCAAAATATGCACTGTGGTGTTATGACGCTCAGGGCTTTTCATATCAGTCACATGGGGGCGCTGTTTCCTTTGCTATTATATGCACTGTTGCAGATGTAAAATTCTCATTTCATCCCATCTAAATGTGCAAATGTGGGTCAAAAGAAGTGGCATCATGTGACAAGTTCAAAGATCAATAATAATGTATGTGGAGTGAATATCATTTTAATATTGATAAAGCGGTTATTTAGATTTATTAGGTTTGTGATTTCATAGGAACGAAGCACTCTGCCAATATCTTAGGTCATTGATCCAGAGCAATAAATGCCTAACAGAAATCAACAACACAATGTACACTGTTTATGTTGATTTCTTAGAAACCCATACATCCAAAAAGTATTATAGAGAGAAGAAGTCATAAATATGGCATTCCTGATGTCTTATATAATACTGAAGGTAAAGGTATGCTGCTGATTGCTTTAAATGTAATTCAAATGATCAAAACCAGGATTTCAAAGAAAAGGATTAAAAGTCTTAAGTCTGTTACCAAAAAGAAGACCTACTTGTATATTTGATCACAGTTATTTATTGATTTCAGGTATGACTAACAGGAAGGTACTGACTGCTGATAAGAATCACCTGGAAATCTGCCAGTTTCACTTAGTCGTAGTGAAATTACAAGGCTTTTTTTCCACAAAAAGCTCATTTAAATGTCAACATACCTCAATGACAATGGTCTGACAAGTACATTGAATCGAAACAAAAACTAAAAAATGACACAAAATGACTATAAATTTAACTAAAATGTCAAAATATAAACAATAACAAATATTATTAAGAACTACAATAGTAGCGTCTTTTAAAAAAATCTGTTTATGTGTATGTTTATTATAAAAGTGACCACTTAGTTGCTTCCAAAAATAAATAAATAACATGAAAATTGCTAGTGTTTTTATAAATAAATATTTGATTTTCATAAAACTTAGATAAGACTCATTCCTGAGTCTAGAGATGTCTTGATTATGTAAGTGTGGCTTATATAAGGCAGTCAACATCTCCACACAACTTAAATGGTTTGCATAACCAAAGCACTTCTTACTGGTTCCATGCTTACAAAATAAAGGACACTGTACAGGTGGCTTACCGTTGTTGTAAAATAAACCTAAATGGGGTTAGTGCCACCTTCTTAAAATATAAAAACTAATAGAGAACAGTTTCATGTATCCACACCCATTTACGCTGTGTGTGGGAAAACAGCAAGCAGGTTATTATAAAGACTTGTTTATCATTCTACTAAAGTTATAATACGTTGTTGTTGTTGGTGGTGGTGGTGTTATTACCCTAATTAGAATTATGTCAATATTAGGAAGAAAGTGAAGTGACATGTGGCCAAGTATGGTGACCCATACTCAGAATTAGTGCTCTGCATTTACCCATCCAAAGTGCACACACACAGCAGTGAACTGGGTTTGAGTCTCGTTCCAAGAAAAGGAAGATTTTAAATTTAAATGAAAGTAAATTAATTTGTATGGCATTTTTCATAATGATTATCACTTCCAAACCAGCTTCAGAGACAATTGACACACACAATCAAGTTCAAGTGAACAAGTATCTGGTGGTATCCGTGAAGAAGTTTAGAAAGATAGACACCAATATAAACTATAAGTAATAGACAAATATACATTATAATGAGACATTTAGAAATAAAATGACAATATATTTGATCAAATAAAAAGAAAAGAAAAGTTTGTTTCCTTGACAAATGTTTTCAATCTTCCTCTCTTATCACACTGTGATACTCTTATACAAACCTAACAATAACAAAAACTGCAAATAGTAGCATTCATTAGATTAATATCTGCAGGCTGTATCATCAGCAATGTTAGCTTTCAGAGGCCTGAATTTGACTTATGAAAATAACTTGGGGATGCCGTCAAACCATGTTCAGCAGAGTGCCTTATGTAAGCCATGCTCAACTGAACAACAGTTTGCATAGAGGGATCCATTGAGAGAGGGCAGGAGGAGGCATGTCTGTCTACATATTCATGTTTCTTTTTCTAAGTGGCTGGGAACCGTGGAGACTGCAGGCTAAGGTGGAGGTAGTTACATAATATAGATCTCCACAGAGGATATAGAACAACTTGCAAAAGGACATCACAGGAAATATGACATCTATTTAATACTATTTTTTTATGCAGCGATACACGTTACGGTCTTCTTCATTGGCCTTTATTTTCTGTGTTTATCAATGTTTGCCTCTGGTCTGAACTGGAATTATGCATTGAAATCAAATGAACAGAAACCTTGATATTTTAACAGAGCTCGTTTTGTTGATGATGATCATGATTTACCAAGCAGAAATATGTCTTAGTGAACCACAGTGTCAGAATAACCGATGAATCATTGTTTTTTTAATGCCTGCAATATCTTTGCATCTTTGTATCTAGGCCTATTTATTTATTACATTTGAGATTCAAGAGATAGAAATCCCACAACACTATCATAGGACTCCAAAGCATTCACTCCAGCTCCAAAGTATAACACCTAAAATATTTATATATAGACAGCTCACATCAGTTCTGCATGAATGAATTGGACTGTGTTCCGGTTGCTGGGGGCAAGAACTGGGCTGCCGTGATTAAACTTAATAATGGCTGGTGACATACAACACACTCACTACATATTCACACAAGCAACGCGTTTCTTTTTACATCGCCCCATGTACAACATAATTAATCTCTTTAAAAACCTTTATTGGACGTGTAAAGTGTCATATTATATTATAAGCACGTTAGAGACGAGCTCCATTTGTCCCGCCCCTCGTGCTGTCGTCATCGGTGACGCAGCACAGTGAAGCGCGCGGACTTCGGTGTCGTTTGTACATGTCGTTAACGGCGGTTCTTTGGATTCATAACTACTATTTTTTTCTAAGCAGAAATTATGTTCTTCATCCTAAACAAACAAAGGAAATCGGTAAGACATTTAACTTACGTTGTGTTTGAAAATGAAAGTGGTGTTAAAGTTAGTCGAGCCCTGTTTGTGTGTTGTTTGAGGAGAAGCCATGCTTTACTGTCTGTTCGCGGTTTTACCTAAACGTTTGTCCTACAGCTGAGGCAGAGCGATACAATATTCAGTTTTATAATAGGGTTGTTTTGGTGAATGGCTCAAAGTGAGAATCCGCTTCTGTTCTTCTAACCGCATCTGAAACGGACCGCTCCTCTCAGATTAATAGCACTTTAACCGTCCAGAGCGTTTAAAACCAGGAA